TGGGATCCCTGTGTTGAAACAAAGAAAGATTACTTTCCCCGTAATTGCTGAAGGGGGGGGGGTGCTGAACGAAAAACTGTTTACTTTGAGAGATTGGCGGATTGTTAGGACAGTGGAGGCGAATCAAAATCCTGTATTACATTCGATAGGGGTGTTTTACATTCAGAAAACATTGTCGTTTAAGACTGTTAGCGGACTGTTCTACAGTCTAAGAACGAAGTATATCAGATAATTAAAGTTGTGTACCAACTTTCTCCTCATTACAAATTGAATTTTTTTAGCAGTAATAGTCCGGACTTGAACCAACGACTTTTTCGATTTGTTTTGGGGATTAGGAGAAACGACTTCATAATGAGTGTAAAGTTAAAATAAATATCACGTACAATCAATTGAAGAACACATTCTGAATGAATTTATAAAAGGAATAACATAATGTAGTAAACAATCAAATAATATTTATCCGAGTCTTCAAAAAATACAAAATATATTATAATTGTAATAATCACGATAATGTAATTTTAATGATATGTTGTGGTACAGAATTCGAGAATCACATGTTTATTTATAGATTTTCATGACGGTTTTTTTGGATAATAGTACTAAATTAATGGGTAACAGTATGAAATCATTGGGTCATAGATAAATAATAACACATGTTTGTGAGGGTAATATCACGATTTGTTGCTTGCCCAAGGGATAGTGGTCATGACCATAATACTGATGATGCCAGTGCCGAACAGCCCGAGAGCAGACAACAAATCGTGATATTGCCCGAATAACCATGTGTTATTTATTTTATCACATCGAGCAGACATCCACCATGCACAATCACATCTACCATACATCACTCACACCCACAAAATAACAACACTTATATTTGAATTATACAATATTTTATTTTATCTATTATAACAAGTTTCACATTACTCATTAGCATAAACATACAGTTTACTGAAAAAAAATGCGACATACACTCAATAAATGCTATTTTCAGCCACGGATACTTTTTTAGTAACCGTGTTTCAACAATGTGAACCACTCAATTTATCGAGTATACCATTTTTGAAATGAATTGAGAAATTCTCAAACTCAAGTTATTTAGCCACTCGCCAGATACAAATGTCAGAGTGCCATGGAAGTGACTTAAATTACTTTCTCACGAATGTACCACACTTTCTATTTACAGGTCACACAGCTTAGAGCATTTTCGGTTAGCATCGGCGTGGAACGCGTGGAATTCTCACAGCGGAGAACGCGCCGCAGCGATCCCGGCTGCGACGTTTCAGTGGCGGCTTTTCCGTACATTTTTGCTTCATATAAAGAATACCCTAAACATCAAAACAGAATATCTTACTTAATATCCATTCTGCCACTTTCGCTGTCTATTTCGAATGGCTAAAGCTCCTTCAAAACCTTGTTAGCAACCCCGAAATATGTAATGTAATATCCATTTTTATTCAATGCCATGTGACCGAGTTTCAGCCAATCATAGCAGGCGTAACAGCAGTGAGATGTGATAATGCAGTATTCTAACGGTAATGTTGGGTCATAGTACAGTATTTTAACGGTAATGTTGGGTCATAGTACAATATTCTAACGGTAATGTTGGGTCATAGTATAGTATTCTAACAGTAATGTGGGTCATAGTACAGTATTTCTAACAGTAATGTTGGGCAAAGTACAGTATTCTAATGGAATGTTGGG